TCAACTGCATTAGCTTATAGACAATTTGGAGGATATGAATGCTTATATTTGTTTTAGCAGTTTACATTATATGTTTAGGCTCTATAATGAATGCCTAATATTAATATATATGTGTTAAGTTATACTGATGCATATCTTGTAGGTTGGTTGTTAATTATTTAGCGTTGTTTAATTAACTATACTATTTGGAGGATTGTATGCACCGGTATGGGACGGTGGCATACTAGGAATGGATTAGTTTAGATACTAAGTCCTACCTAAACCGGATTGAGGTATGGATTAACTAGCCAAAAAGGTTAAGTCCATCTCATATTTAGTCATGTCAATAAAATAATTGAATGACCTAGTAGTTTCTGGAGGATTTATTATACATATATCATATCACTATACAAATGGGTGATATTTTGTATTAGGAATATACGGACCTTATATAATTATGATATGGTGCTATGATATGAGCTTGAGTCTCAGGACCATGGTTAGGGTGCGTATATCGCCTAGGATGGATAGCTGGACAGTAGTTGTTGTTCCCTGGTAGGTATAGGTACACATAACCACGTAATGTGCGATTTACATGGTATCTCTACTCAGGCTGAGACAGACCTACTGGACTAGTGAGCGCCCTTTAGTGTGTAATATATACATATATGGACTACTCTAGATATTGTTGACTCTACTTAGGATGTATCTGCGTATCGGATTCCTGTTTGGATCGTAGTAGATCAGGACTTGCATGTAGGCTTGATCCACTCTTTTATTTTTCAGGTGCTCGTCAGTTCCAGGGTTAGAGTTTGGTCGTACAGAGCAGATACAGACATCCATTCTACCGACTACGTAGGACTGCTTACTTATTAGCTTTGGATCTTATTTCAGTTATTTCACTTTACAATTGGGATTTTTATTAGGGGTCCACTAGATGGATTCCTGAGTTGTTAATTAATTAGAGGTTTTGGAGTTTGGATATTTATAACATTATTTTGAGGATTTTCAATTAGAATTCTTTTCAGCTATTATTATTTACTTCTTATTATTTCATCTTGTATTCTGTGTTCATTAAGTATTAATTGTTTGATATTTCTCTTGGATTTGGGCTTGAGCCTGATCAACCCGTGTCTCGGATCCGATGGGTATCACAGTGTATGATGATAAATGTTAATATGACATAAAAGGCATGAAGCAACTATACACTTCATTGGGAAAGAGATGGGAACTTGAATTTGAATATATATATATATATTAGGAAATAATTTTGAAAAGGATTTTGTGAAAAACCCGGCCACCTAGGAGTTGCCTAGGGATCGCGGTGTTAGTGAGGCCTATAGGGGCTAGGGAAATCGCCCTAGTGTGGTTGAGTTACCTGGGTCCTAAATGACGTCATGGAGTTGTTATGGGTCAGAGATAGTGGTCAATCCTCATCTCGTGCCGCCATAGAGTTACCATGGGATGGGTTCACTAACGATTTGGAAATGATAATGGAAATGGTTTTGGAAAATGAGGAGTGATATTGCATGGCATGGCATCTTATTGCATGGCATATTTATTTGTGGTTTTGGATTAATGATGTGGTATCGTAGTTATATATTTACTCCCGACATGGTATGATCCCAATTTCCTTATTCCTATTCATTGTGTGGATTCACGGGGGTCTCAAGAGGTGTGTCTTAGGCATCTCCTACTGAGTTTATGCTCACCCCTTCATTTTAATATTTTTCAGGAAACGGGAATGAAGTGGCAGATGACGTTCCACCACAGGCCTAGTATAGATTAGATGACCATTTTGTTATTTTTGTATCTAAGTCCCACTATTTTTGTAAAACTTAGCATATTGTATTCTGTACTGAGATTTATGGACTCTTGTTATTATAGTTATATTCATGGGCTGTAATTTTGATATAAGTTATCTTAACGTTGTATGACATGGACTTTTGATCGTAACAATATTTTTGGGACTGCAATTATGATATTTGGATTAAATAGCATGTAGTTGTTCCACCATAAGCTGAACTATGTTGAAGCAAAATGAATGGATGAAAAAAATGTTGAAATGTATTATTTGCATTGTGTTAGGACAGGTTAGGTAAATTTTGAAGGTCCAAGAGAGGCCTTTGTATTTTTATGTATTTTAGCAGGTTGTCGTAGGATCCTTTTTAGCAGAGGTCATACCATTTTTTTTTTTTTTTTTTTTTTTGTATCATTTTAGGGTCGTTACAACATATTCTTCGACGGCAATTCAGAATAACAACATGATGTGTACGCCACTGGCGAGGAGAGAATATTGCATGGCTTTGTGGATCTATGGTGGGTCTCTAATCACAATAGCCTTGTCGAGAGCTTTGTTCACAGACATAGCATTCTTCTTTTATAATTGATTCTTGTCAGCAATTGCTTCTTCCCAATTCGCCTCTATTCATATCAATTCAACCCTTATAAACCCAAAGCTCTTCCTTAGCGGAACGATTATACATATCTTGAATTATGAAGAAAAAAAAAGATTATACATATCTCTGTATGTATGTTTATATATATATATATATATATATATATAGAGAGGGTTGCAAAGAGAGGCATTTGCGTATAGGGGTGTGTATATATATTTGTGAGTGTGTAATATATATAATACAAAAGAAAATAGCAAGTATAGAGTGAACGCGATTAAGAGATGGGAGCAATGTGTTCAGAGAGCAATTTTCAGTTTATGAAGGTTGTCTTGGGCGATGTTGGTTATGTCACACGCCACCTAAAGTTCTGCGCGTAGATTTCAAGCGTCGTCATGGGCCCTACGCGTCTTCTCCGGCGAAAATTCGATTCCAGCGAGTTTTCCGGCAAGAATCCGGTTACATCTCCGGCGAGCCAAGCCGTTTAGCCGGTACTAGCCGAGTCGAGCCATATTTGGGTGTGGTGCAAAATAGGAATCAAAAGGGTAAAATAAGGTTTTCGTATTTAGTTTTGGTCAAAAAGGGGTCAGAGGGGCTTATTTGTACTTTTTTTGAATTTTATGGGCTAACATGCACATTTTCAAAAAATAGAGACTAATTTTGCACAAACTCTATATATCAGGGTGGTTTTTTGCATTTAACCCTTCAAACAGTGGGTTACAATGGTAAGAATCCCTATTACAATCAGTAGGAACATTCTTAAGCTTTCGTCTCTCTACATATGTCTATCTACTGCGCCACAGACAGTGAACCGACTCTTAAACCCAGTTATAATCGGAAAAAACATTCTCGAGCTTTTCATCGCGAACCGACAATATTCAGTGTTCTTTATCTACCAATTCGTATGTTTTTTTCATCGTTTAAAGCTCTCAATTCACTGAATTTAGTATACTTTCATTCTCATATTCTGAAACCCACATTTGTGTTCTTATCTTAACGTATGTGTTTGAGTTTAGTGTACTTCTAAAGCATAAACCCTAACTTTAGCTTTTATATGTTTTGAGTTTGAAGTGAACAATGATTTTGACTCTACATTGTTATTTTGACTCACCAATATATATAGGCATCATCATTTCTTATCGATGGTTAATCTAACCTTCTGCTAGATGGTTAAATGGTTAAAGTACTTTACAATCAATGGTTAACATGTAACTTTCTAAAAACTCTTCTAAAATGTTACAAAATTAAACTCTCCTAGAAGTCTTTCTCATACACAATTTCTTACAAACTTTTAAATTTTTTAAAAACAAATTTCATCCATTGATATTTCGCACTGTGTGATTTAACAATTATGTTTTTTCTTAGATAGGGGCATCTTCGGATTACACATTACCTAAGTATCTTTCCAATAATTGTAGAGGCGGAACCAGAAATTAAATTTAGGGGTACATTGCAATATATATATATATATATATATATATATATATATATATATATCAATAAACATGACAATAAATATAAATTATTCAAATCAAGAGGAAAGAAGAAAAATTACTCAAAATAATATGTCAATCAATGAGTGAAGATAATTAGTTAACAAAAATTTTAAAAATAAAAGAAAAATGAGAGAATTTTGAAATGAAAAAAGAAGAAGAAAAGGTTGGACTTTGATTTAAAAGGGAAATTTTAACTTGTTATAAGGAAATTAAACAAATTTAAAAAGTAACAAAGAGAAAATACAAAATTTGAGAAATAATTGTAGAAAATACAAATTTTAGGGGGGCATTATAAAAATTTATTCACATATACATATAAAAATACATAAATTTAGTATATATATTATAGTAAGAGGGGCTAGGCTAGAGGAGGCACGTGCCCTTTGGGCATACACTGATTCTGCTCTTGAATAATTTTATGCATTGTGATGGAATTGGGTTGTTTCATATTGTTTTTAGGAGTTCGGTTTCGAATTTGGCACTTTTAACTTTATAATCTAACATTCAATGTCTTTGGGAGTTGAACCTACCTCTTACTTTTTAATCTAACATTCAAATAGGTGTGAATTAATTTTGAGCACAAGAATTATTATTTAGTACTAAAAATTAAAGAAAAAACTAAAAACAGAAAACCATTCTCAAAGAACAATTTTTTATAATTATCTGAAAATAAAAATTTTTATAATTGAATTTTCACAAAACAGTTTTTTGAAAACTGAACAAATCAAAAAAAATTATACTATTTGTTTATTTTCAATTTTTTTTTGTTTATTTTCAATTTTTTTGAGAATACAAAACTGTTTACATAATTACAAATTAAGCAATCCTGTTTTCATTTTTGAAAATATCATAAGAATGTTTGAGAATATAGTAAGAATGTAGATAAAAATAGCAATCAGAATCTATATTCTAGAGAATGATAAGGAAAATGAAAATAAATTTGATTGAGGTAAGAAAAAAGAAGTTATTTAACATGACAAATAAGTAGTTATATAATTAATAATTCAAAAACAAATCAAATAGTAATTTATATAATAAATAAAAAATGTATCAGGAAAAGTCCTAAAATTGTAGATTACTGTATTATTTAGGAAGATAATAACAAGATAAAAAATAAAAAGGCGTTATAATATTTTAAATGCGCAAAACCCTAGCCCATTCAACTTAAGCCTTCAGGTCGCAGAGAGAAAGCTAGGTCGCACAGAGAGAGCGGCAAAGATTTGCCGAAGATGAGACCTCTAGACGAGAACGAGACCACCCAAGTCTTTGAGAAGCTCTTCAAATTCACAGGCAACAATCTGAAGAACATCGTCGAAAACCCATCTCACGAAGGCTCCGAAACCAAACCAGGTCGGTACTGCTTTCGAATGAACACGAACAGAGTATACTACGTGAGCGAGTCGTTGGTCAAACGAGCCACGAACATCAAACGAGACAATCTTGTTTCGCTGGGGACGAACATCGGGAAGTTCACGAAAGGTGGGAACTTTCATCTCACCGTACAGTGTCTCAATTTGCTCGCCGTCAATGCGAAGCAAAAGGTGTGGCTCAAACCCACTTCGGAGATGTCGTTTTTGTACGGAAATCATGTGTTGAAGGGTGGGTTAGGGAGGATTACAGAGAACATCGCGGTGGGGGACGGTGTGGTGGTGTTTTCGATGTCCGACGTGCCGTTGGGGTTTGGAATTGCGGCTAAGTCGACTCAGGATTGTAGAAAAATGGACCCCAATGGGATTGTTGTGCTTCACCAAGCGGATATTGGTGAGTATCTGAGAATGGAGGACGAGCTTTGAAGCTTCACCAAGCGCGGTTATTGGTGAGTATCTGAGGATGGAGGACGAGCTTTGAAGGGTTTTGGGAGGTTTGGTAAGCTGGTTTTGGTGTTGGGAACTTATACTGAGTTCTCATGAACTGGTAATTTTCAATTTTGGGTGATAACAGTCTTTTTAAGTTATTTGATATTGGTACTGAATGAACTGTTTCTGTAATATGAATGTGTTGATTAGCATAATTTACTCGAAATTTGACATTATTAATGAATTTTGTTTCAGGCAAGGTAACATATATATGTTTGGATGGTTTAAATACTTTTGTCTATATTAGGGTTTATGATTGTGGAACTTATTAACTCTCTTCATCATTTAGTTATATATAGCATTTATCTATTTTTTGTTCCATGGTTTTGATTGATAGGTATTGTGATTTTCATTTTCCGTTTGTTTATTGGTCTATTACTGTAGGATAGGGTTTTGCATGTTTGAATTTTTAAGGTTTTCTAAGAGTCATTTTCTTGTTTTTGAGTGAGGAGAGTGCACGCTCTGCATTCAGAGAAATTTGGGCAAAGAAAGGTGTATGGTGGTGGTAGCATGATATTGTTTGATAAACTGTCAAAAGGGGCTCTGCAGGTGTCAAGTGGCTTTGATGCATACTGTGAAAAATGGCAATCCATCTTTAATAGTAGTAGTGATTTAATTTCATCACATCAAGCTCAATCTCAAGCTCAAGTGAATCTGATATCTTGCTTTTGTTGGTATGCTATCAATAGATCTGTGCTTGATTCACTTTTAAGGTACAGGATTGGCTTTTTAGTAATTGCTTCCATCAAGGACTGCAATGTTTATGAGTCGCAATACTGCAATATTGCTGAGAGTGAGGGTGAGGAGGATGAAGCCCTATTGATTCAAATGAATTGTTTATATGCTATCACTATGGTAGAATTATATTTACCTTTTAGATTGGGGTGTTTTTTGTACTTCTTTGAACTTGGCTTTTTCTTGTTTACTGATAGCCATAAGCCTTCCTTGTGTTGATGCCATATTGTAGAGTTTCTTAACTCTGGTTAGCTATTACCTACCTTCCCAAAAAAAATTAAATAAATAAAGAAGAGGGAAAAAAAGACCTGGTTAGCTATGACACGTTTGCCCAGTAATTTTCTATTGGTTTGCTTTCTAGAGTTTTAGTTGTTGGATTGTTCAAGAATCTAAGATGAATATCGCTATGGAATTTAAATTATATTGCAACTTTAAAAACCTATTTTTCTGCTCTCTCTCTCTCTGTTTTTTTTTTATTTTTTATTTTTTATTTTTTAATTATTATTTTTTGCTGCTGGATTGCGGGTGGGTTTGGTGGGCGTTGTAGGGAGAAGGTGGATGGCAACAATAAGAAGTACAAATGCACTAGTAAACGGTGTGATAGTTGGGTGCAGGGTGGCTTAGAGTCTGATGTTACATACCTACGCCATTTGGAAGCCTTGTGTATGCTATCAATCAAGAGGTCAATGGCATTTTACAACTGGTTTACAAGCAGCACTATGAGCTCTTCTCTCTGTAATTTTATCCTGTTTTCAACATAGTGACCCATGAGATTTGTCATTCTGCTTTCTTTATGGACTCACTTGGAGGGGTTTGAGCAATATTAATGTGTGCGGAAATTATTAATCTGTTGGTGTGACCAATATATCTTGAACATAATCTGATGGTGTATGATCTCCTGTTGAATTAAAAAAAGTCATTGTTGCTTATCCTAACAGTTCATTTTATTTAGGATGTGACATCTCTTGTTATTTTGTTTTTTGTTTTTGTGTTTTTTTTTTTTTTTTGACAAGTCTCTTTTGTTTTTAAGTTATATATTTTTATCTCATTAGTAAAAATTTATACAGAATTGAAGGAAATTTTTTAGTGAGTGATGAGATTTTTTGTGTCTACCACTTTCTTTTGCTTTATCCATCTACACACTATTTGGTACAGCTATAGGTATGAGTGAACCCCAGAAGTTGATACCAAGGCATGGTGGGATTAAATACATACAATAGAGTATTAGCTAGCTAAAGCAAGATGTACATGCAATAGGTATTGCCAACAATAATATAATATGATAGCGGTTTGGAATTTTGTGATCATTGTTTTTACAGTCATGGGTGACTTAACTGGGAAAAACTGGGGTTGCAGTGCCATTGACACCCGTACTACTATTCAAAGTGCAAAAGAGGGTCTCTTGGACGGCCATCAAATCGAGGGAGACCGCTGTCAATTCCAAGTTTTGCTTTGGCAATTGGGGTTGCTTTTGTAACAAAGGCCATGGCTGTTGTGATAAGGTAACTAGGAGATGATTGCAACAATAATTCAATGAGTTAATTGCAGTTGCAATTTGCTACTTGCAGTGAGTGCTCTGCATTTACCCAATTTATGGGCAAGGAGAGACCATGTTACTGCAGTTTTTGTTGACTGGTTTTGTGGGAATTACTCTAAACATTGCATATATTTGTATATACTTTGACAGTACCTGAAACTTTTTATGACTAATCCTCAATCAAGTCTTAATTGATATTAATTACAAATTAACTGTCAGTATATATACAATGATATGTAAAAAGCACTCGAGAGTTTTCTTTGGGATTCGCTCCCCTTTTGAGCATTTTTTTATAAAATTGAACTTATCAAAAAAAAAAAAAAAAAAAAAGCACTCGAGAGTTAGTTCAAATGTTTTGTTATATCTTTATGTATGATCATAGGAATTTTGTTTTGATAAGTTGTATGATCATTGGACTTAATTTAGATATTTTAGAAATTTAGAGGCTATTAAGTTTGGCTGGTATATAGGTCTTCATCTCTTCATCAAACTAGCCTTCTTGATGTGAAATGAACTACATTGGTTGTGGTTGTTTTTCCATATGATAGCACATGTTTTCTTTTGTGGAAAAATGTGTAGGTACCCTTCAACTATCACTACTAGTTTGATTGCTCACTTGTATGCTAATACAAGTCATGGGTTGCTCATATATTTGGGAATACTTAAATGTCTACATTATGTAGCAGAGAAGAAAAACATGTATGTTTGTTTTTTTTAGATACTCTAGTCTATATGTGATCTATGCTTTTGATTGATTGGGTTTTTTATTTTAATTTTCCTTTTGTTTGTTGCTCTATTACAGTAGGGTAGGGTAGCGTTTATGCTTGTTTGAATTTTTGGGGTTTTTGAGAGTCCTTTTGAGTGCAGCACGGTCTGTATTCAGAGAAATTTGGGCCAAGGAAGGTTTATGGTGGTGGTAGCATAATAATTGTTTGATAAATGCCCACTGGGGGCTCTGAAGGTGTCAAGTGGCTTTGATGCATTTTGTGAAAAATCTGTGTTTAATGGTGGTAGTGATTTAATTTTATAACATTAATCTCGAGCTCAAGTTAACATGATATCTTGCTTTTGTTGGTATACTATCAATATATTTGTTGCTTGATTCACTCTCAAGGTGCAGGATTGCCTTTTGAGTAATTGCTTCTAACGATTGTAATGTTTTATGAGTTGACACTCTTTGGTAGTAGTTGAATTAGCTTTTTGTTACTGTCCAGCAAATCTTTGGGGTCTCTTTGAATTGTTCATGCATACATTTAAAGCTTAGAACTTATTCTGAGTTCTTGTGAGATGGTAATTTTACATATTGGATGAAAACAGTCTTTAAGTAATATGACATCGTTACTAGATGAACTGGTTTTGTCATATGAATGTGGTGATTGGCACAATTTACTTGAAATTTGAAATTATTAATGAATTTGATTTGAGGCTTTTGTGTTTATTAATATTGTATGAAATCTTTCTTCTTGCTTCTCTGTCTAGAAAAAATGGGAGCTTTCGACAAGTCTTACCGCATACCAGCATTCTTGTTGCAATTGGTATGGGGGATAGATTTTGCATTTAGCTGTTTATTTGAATATTTGTCCTTGACACTAAATTGAAGAATTAAGGCTATTTAGGATTCGCTTGTGGATTGACCGCATTCATAAATTTGATGATATATATATATACCGGACACTGATATGTAGTAAGCCATCTCAACTATGGTTGTCAGTGGTGGTTTTAAGTTTATCAAAATGTTTTCTTTGTTCATGTCTTTTGCTTTATGTAGTACTTATTATTCTTTGTACCATAACTTGCCTGCACTCCCACTCTGTCAAATTAATGACAAACAAAACTTCATATTGAATCTAAAAGGAAAATTTTTTTTCTCGGAGAGAATCTGAAAGTGTTGGGTGAGGATAAGATATCATTTTATTTCGTACTACAAAATGAAGGACAAGATGATTTTTAGAAGGTGAAGCTACTTTTACTTTTGTTTTGCCTTATCATTGGCCTTATTCTCATTGTTAAGTGTAAGGGAAGAACTTTTGATGTTAGGTGTTACCTTTATGGGGCATTCGAAGCAATTTTTGACTGATTCACACATTCTTATCATCATCACAGGTTCGAATACCTCAGTTTTGTACCTTTTTCCCATTCCACTCAGGAGAAGGAATAGATTTGGGGAAGTATTCTTTTGCCCGATGAGCAAAAAAAATATTGAGTTTGCGTGATTGTATGATCTGTTAAAGAAAATGAACCCCTTAAAAATCTTAATATATTTTTTGATCCGTTTGAATACCGTAAAAGTATAATATTTCCTGTTCTTTTTGCTTCCCCTGTATTCTCCAACTTTATTTGTGCTCTCATTTTTATGTTCTTCCATGAAAGATACCTCCAGTAAAAAGTCTGCAGGAACTAGGTTGCTGAACTTTCAATATGATATCAGGCAGTCTAGGGTGGCAGTGAATGGTAGTTTTGAATGAACATACCGGAAAATGACACGTCAAAGATTGACGTCCATATAAAGAGTAACTTATTGTTGTTTCATGTCTTGTGCTGTTGCATATTCAGGTACATGTCATCGCCTAACTGGGATTCATGATTGTGTCAAATTTTTTGAGGTAGTAACTGGAAGTGTCTGGTGGAAGTGAAGGATTGATGAATGTATGGCCGTTTTTTTACTTGATTGAGGATATTATTAAATCGCGCGCAAGCACGCCCATGTGTGTGTAAACTGTTTAACACAGTTGTATATGCAAATTCAGTGTTGGAATTAACTGTCTTGATTGGCTTCTGTTCAATTGCATCTCCACTATTTTGTTGCGAGTCCATTCACAGTGCTTGATAAGTTGCTTTCAGTTGAAAACATTTTAGATTTCTGTTGGCTTTTGAGCTCTCTTTTAAGTTTCAATTTGTAAATTAAATAAGAGATGGCAGTGGATAAA